CACTCCAGAAACAAAAATAATCAATCTCATTGGATGGACCTTTTTTTTTTTTTTTCATTAAAAAACCCAAACCAAAACCTTGTGTTCATGAAGTGATATCATGTGAATTAACTTTCTTCCTCGCAAAGAAATCCCTGACCTCTATCTCACATTCTTGGGTCATTAAGCAAAGATCTCTCAAAGCCAAGTTCACTGTGACAAAGATCATGAACTTCTATTTGGTATGGGGCTTGGATCCAAATAAAATGTTTCTGTGGGCCACCAGTTGGACAGTAATTCAACAGAAGGTATAGGGAAAAGCATAATAAATTAGTACTTGGGTTTTTTTCACCTCTTGTTCCTCTTAATGGGGGAATGAAAGTTTTTAGCCACTGGTTCCTGTGTTTCCCTTAAAAACAGAGTTAACAAGACAATACGAACATATCTAACTGATTTTACAGCTGCCATCAGATCCACACTTCAGGTTAATGAAAACCAAGTGCTCTCAAAGACTTGAGAAGGCAATTGCCCAAGATCTAGCTCACCAAAAAGAGTTACAGGATAATTCTCAAACTCAGGCAGTGAAATGTTTTGACAGTAGAAGAAAGAAACCCTGAAACAGCTTAAGTCTTTACTACTGTTCACGGAAAAGTTTGGAATTTTCTTATCAAGATTATTCCTGAAGTCCAGGTAACGGCATGAGAACTGCAAACTTTGTTAAAGACTGTTATGATCTTCCACACAACCCATTTAACATTCAATCTGCTCCCCATTTTCAAACTGCAGCCTTTAAAGCTACAGGCTTGATTCAATTATGAGGGAAGATAAGAAGGAAGAGGAAAAAGTAGATCTGAGAAGTTTTCTACAGGGGAAGGAGGAAAAAAAAAAAAATTATGTCCGGCAGGAGACAGGTTATGCAGGTTTGTTCTTTTTACAGTAAAATCTAAACACTGCAGTACTAAGTGAGCCTGGGTATCCTACAGGTTAAATAAGTGGCCTCATGGGCAGCAATCCAAGCAGAGTATTGCTGCTCCGCCTGAATCCAGGATCAGCGTGAAATGGCACGCTTCAAAACCAGCAAACTGCCTGAAACACCTGGTGTAGGGCAAACTCTGCTGCTTTGACACTAATAAAACACATATGACAAGGTCAGGGGATGCCTATGTACACCGGAAAAGCCTTTTTCCTTATCTTAAATGAAGCAGCTCAAAATATTGATATCCTGTCTTAAAAACAATCTGCTCTCTAGTAAGACTGTACACCTGCAGTTGCAAGACAAGAGTTTTTGCAGTTGCTCTTCTGCTTCACATTGAAGAACCAGCGATAACTGTTACTACTGGGATCAGAAAGTGATGCCAATTCAGAAGTACTTAAGTCTCATACACTTAGATTAACACATAGATATGCTATCCCCTAATAATTTTGAGTTCACAAAGGTTTCTTAAAAGAAAATGCGCTGAGTAACTGAAACCTAATTTGAAAAGGAAATACAATATCCCCATATAAACATATGCTTGAAAGCCAAGAAACTGCATAATAGGCATAGAAGACATAAAAATACGCAATTTACATATATTACACACTAATAATCTCTGTTCTGACATTACACTTAAAGAGCTCTGGCTGAGATGGCGTGCTTGCAGTTGAGTTGCTTTTTCATGAAATATAAACAAGGACACTCCTGGCCACCCATTCCCCAAAACAGTAGTCCATGTTTTATTCCTGCAAAAGTCAACCCTTTGCAGGTCTCTAGGTTCTCTCACCACAGTCAGATAGTAACAAGTAAACCAGATGAACAAGGAGAATAATCAGTCATCTGAAAGGGATCTGCAGAATTTGTCTTGGTGTTAAAAAGTGCTAAATATTAACAAGGTAGGACTCTTTGCATTCTCTTATTGTTTTAAGCAAGAGCAACAACTTTACCCAGCCTGTAAGACGGGTATGTTATGGAGCATTCTGCTTCCTAAAACTGACCAAGTCATACGGTCCTCTCTAACTTCCAAATTCAAGGCTAGCACAGTAAAAATAAAAAACAGCATCCTAGCCGTCTCAGTTTGTCCTCTGCCTTCCCCCAGCGCTTGCCTTAAACAGTGTATTTGACCATCGTGTTCAAAAACAAAGATAGAAAGAAAACATCCTGTGTGGAAAATAAAGCTTCCCCGGGGGTCTGCGTGTCAGACCCTCATTTGGAACAAATTGGAGTCAAAGGGGAAAAGAAGGTTTAAGTCTGGTAAGAATATGATCCTGTGAATCTTAATATTATATTGTTCTGCATGTTCTGAGGGTTTTTTTAAACTCACAAAAGATTATTAGGGCTTCAGACAAAGCTCCACCACTCACTGCTCCCACTAAAGTCACTGTAAATTCATCTTTAGACACAGTATGTCCAGAGCACTTGCCTGAGAAGGAGATGTGGATGGGTGGAAACATTATGTTAATTGCTCACACCCCCAGATTTATTGTGGTCAAAAATCCACTGGCTAGTAAAAAGACCCTCTTTCTTTCTCATCTAAATTCCACACACACAGGCAGGGCACTGCAACATGCCCACTCAGGAGGAAAACTCCTGTTTCTCTCTCTTCATGAAATCCCCAATGCAGAACTGGCTTTTGACTTTCCAGCCACCGCTACCTCAGCTGCTCGGTCAGCACCCGGGCGCTTGCAGGAAGAGCCCTGAGGAAGTGTGACAAGGGGATGCACTGCAACACACCCCACAACTAAGGGGCATTTCACACACAGTAACACTGCCACACACATAACCAACATCTGAGGCTCTTTTGGGCATAAAGACATTTGCTGTTTTACACAGTCCTACAATTTGTTGCACATAATTTACATATTTGAGGCTGTATCACTCCCTTATATAAACACAAAGTCTAGGTACATCACTTTATACCTACACACATTTTATACGTATCACTGAGTCATTGTTTAGGCTCCAAAACTGTTTTAGAGGAGCTGTTGGTAACACCGCATGAATTCAGGGCTGGGATTTTAGTTTGTTTGATAGAAAGATCTTTATCAGTCAGTTGCCAAGAAGCTGTCCAAAATCTAAATGGATCTAAGTAATCTGTATGCATTTGGTGACAAAGACATGATGTCAGTTTTTGAGTGATCGGCCTCCTCCTAAACCTCTTGGGTAGAGGTGCAGGACATGGCCAGGAGCTCTAAGCACTGGGGTAGAAAAAGCTTTCATAAGTCTAAGGAAAAAAGCCCAAAACAACAGAAGTTTTGTAGCATAAAGACAGGGCTGAGTGTAAAGAAGCACAGTAACCGATTAAGGTCATCCAATTGCTCCAGGATCTCCTTTTCATTATATCAGAACTCAAATCAGCAAGATTTTGGGGGGAGGCAACCAGGCCTCACTTTTTTGTACCACTTTGCCCAGACATCACCAGATTTGTTTACTGTTGTGCTCCACTTCTGTGTAACAGACAATAAAAGCTTTGTGAAAGGAAAAAAAGATCACATTTTCCATAGCCAGAACCAACATACATTTAAACTGACACTGACAACTACTTTTGATGGATTACCACTGAATCCCACAAAGATATTTGTGAAAAATATGGAAGCCTTGCACACTGCAAAACTGGCCATTAAAAACAAAACAAAAAAAAAGAAGCAACTAATATAATGTCATGGCTTTTGTTGGAGATTGCATTTAGAAATTTAGAACAAAATCCATTCAAGTCTTGTTGGAAGTACATCCATTTGTTTTTCTGTTGGTATTTTTTTCCTGAGGTTTCAAGACATAAAGTTTTGTACCCCACTCTATGCTATAGGAATCTGTGAAACTTAATTACATTTACTGTTACAAAAAAGGGTTTATGAACTTTTGCCTTTGGGCAAAAATGTTTATTTCATTGCCTTTGTTATTCATTCTTTTCAACTCCAGTGCCTTTGAACTTTTCAGCTGCACAGAGTTATCACCGTTGCACAGGAACCAGGAACTGTACTCCCAAGATGCAAACCACAAGTTGAAGAAAACGAAGGAGGCAAAGATATACGAGTCGTTATTTTGGCCACCCTTTGTGCCATTAAAATCTCATTTTCTGCCTATTAGAATGCCCTCTCCCTGCTTAGGCAGCGGTGATAGTCAGTGATTAGTGTGTAATTGAGGATAATTGTCTTTTCACTTTTCATTTGTGTCATTCTGAGCTTCTCTCTGTTTTTCTAACCACTGAGAGGAAAGAAGGGTAGGAAGCAGATAAAGCTGTTAAAACTCTCACTTTCAGCCCTGAAGAGATTCCTGATTGTAATTATAGATTGCATCCTCTGTGACTTCTCAGAATTTAGTGGACACCTCTTTCCAAGCACCTGGGCAAAGCTCTTGCTAATAAAGTAAACTACCATCTATTCAAGCTTTAACTAATGTCAGCTTCAGACAGATGCTGCACGTAGGAAAATTTAACCAACCTTTTGACACTCAATTATCAAGGCTATTTATTAACATGATTTCCTAAAAAGAGCTCATGCAAATTAGAAAAACAATTATGACATTCATGCATTTATATATTGCCAAAGAGCAGTAATACTCCTAATTTATGTATTTATAACTCGATTATAACTCATCTCAATGCACACTGCTCAGCCCTTGGAACTCTCCTTGTACAACTTGCCTGTAATTTTCCTGGACCATTCAGTAAAACCTTGGTGAGCTTATCTTAAAGAGGTATTTTATTCACAGAAAAACTACGCGATCTGCTTTCTGTACCTGGCCATGGATCTTCAGGAGAATAGCAGTATATTATAAATGCTTGACAACCGAATGTAAACATGAAGCCTGCATGATTACATTATAAATCACTTGAAATTAGATATAAGCTATGACTCTTGATTCAGCCAGTAGGAGGAAAAAATTAAAAAAAAAAAAGAAGGAAACTAGCAAACTGGAATCATGTGGCTTGTATAAAGAATACATTATGGTTTAAATTTGGCAATTCATTATACTGTGGCCTGAGGGAATAGACTCTTTGGTTCTGGTATACAGCAAATCCTCTGTCTGAAAACACAGGACTGACCTGAGGTGAAAGGCCATTGCCAATGGCAGGGTTCATGGGATTTGAGGGCCCGGACGGAGGCACAAAGCTGTCTGTATAGCTGGAAAATCCATGCCTGGTGCTGGGTAGGCAATAGGCAGAGCTGCTCTCTGGATTCGAAGGGAGGCTGCTTTGGTGTACAGTGCTCGGAGGGAGAGGCTGAGGTCTATGGACGGTACTGCTTGGATCAGAAACAGCTAGAAGCAAAAGAAACATTGATACGTTTTTCTCCTTTTTTTTTCTGGCAAAATAATTCTGTTATGTGAAGCCTAACTTGACTGAATTTCATCAGGACCTGCATCTAAGAACTGGTCAAGTAGAAAGGCAAATCTTTAATATTGCTAAATATTTAACTGGCCAGTAAGACTACACAAAATAGACTGCAAAAATCGTAACAACAGACGTGCAGTTTTCAGACAATCCTTAGTGGGCACATATTGTTCAGAAGAGATACAGAATTTTTTTTTAATACACATACATACATTAAAAAATAAAGAAAAAGCTTTATTTGCTTAGAAGACTGGTAACAGTTTCCTCCTGGTCACAGAACAGAAATTCTGCTGTGGTTTGTAGTGAACTTATAGATGGGTGGGAGAAGCCCTGGGCTTAAAAAGATTCCCTTAATTAGAACATCTACCAACAGTTAGGATCCAAATCTCAAGGACAGAGCAAGAAGAGTACAGTACCTTGTTTTATAAAATCATACCTGTAAGGTTTTTCTTTAATAGTAAAATCTAGCATAGCCTAGATTTGAGGCTCTGCTCCCTCCTCCAAATCCATCAAAGTTCACAAAAAATCTGATAACATTAGAGCAAATTTTTACGACAGTGTGACTTGCTACTACCTGATGTGAAAAAAAGATGGTCTGAATACCTAGGTTTTCCACCATCGGATAAATACTCTGTGTACTTACAGAAGTTTCCAGTGCACCATCTTCTAAAGCAACAAAGACAGAATGCAACTGCTGCCTCCTTCCCTGCCACGCTGGGCACTCTCAGTCAAGGAGGCCAATGCAATAGAAGGGTAGGGAAGGGTGTACGTCACTTCACCCATGCTACACCTCTGTCGTGCAGGAGGCTATTATTTCTGTAGCTAGCACTCTTCACATGTAACCAGCCCTTTCTTGCAGCAAAACAAACCCGAGTCCTTACAGGCTTAAAATAAGCAGGCTTGCAAGGTCCTTGCTGCCTCAGACCCCAAATTAGCCACCATCCTTTTTTCTATGTTAGAGAAGAAAATATTTCTACAGTGGATCAACACAGGAAACCCCCCAATAACACTATTTTAACCAAGTACCTGTTGGCTACTGTACCTTGCGGTATGGAGGTGGGTTGATAAGAGGGCTCAGAGAGCTGGTATGTCGGCAAAGTTGGCATGGCACTGGGTGGAAATCCTCCTGGGATCAGATGGTTGAAAGCCATCAGTTGATTGGCTCCTGCCTGTTTCCTCCATCTAGCACGACGATTACTAAACCAGACCTACAAATATTTAATTAGGGACATTTTATTTTTGTACATTTTATATGGGTGCATCAGAAATAACAGCATTGTATTTCAAATGCATTCAGTGTCCAAGAAAAGAGATGCAGAGGATGCGCACTGGCCTTAGAGCTCCTAGACAAGAAAGGAGCTTCCATGGTTCAATGGACAAGCTTGGCACATGCTTCCATAGTTCAATGGACAGGAGACAGGAATCACGAACCCTAGTTTCCTTTCAAATACAGCCTGTCTTGAGAAACAAGCTGACTAATGCTTTTGAGCTTTAGTGCTTTTAATAGCTATCAATCACTATGCTTATTGTGCCAAATTTAATGAGAAAGGGAAAACATCCCTCCATTTGATCTAAGTACCAGCCAATGCTATTTGGTCTGGATTGTATGGTCTTTATATTTAATTCGTCAACAGGTTAGTGGCATCACTTAATGCACTGTTAGAAGGTGCTTGTACTTATATATTAGGATATTCTCTTGCCTTAATGATCAACAGAACTTTAAGCTTTTAATTTGAAAAATACAAAACACACAAATCCCTCCCAGTAAGTTTTCATGTATTCACATATGTACAAAACATCTCTTAGTAAACTTGACATTAACAGTAGATCAGAATTTCAGTACTAGATTAGCATTTCAGAACCACTTTGAAATCTGTTCCCCGAACAGGGTACCAAACAGATGGGTTTTGGATTAGTGGGACATTTTAGCTATAAATCTCCATTCCTTCACATCATTGTTGGTTCATGTTTTAAGGCTACACAGGTCTGTAAAAGTACTTGTAAAAGTAAACTGGGTCTCAGATCTGTTACCCTTCCTGCAAGCAGCCCATGCTGTCTTGTGAATCAGCCATCACAGACTGGATTTCTAGGTGTAACATCATTTAGAAACCACGAGTGGCCCTTACATAACAGTGTAACAACATTTTGGACTACACTGTGGATTTCTCTGCTTGTTATTTCATAGCAGGAGTGGCAGGACTTACTGGGCCATCTGGTTTCTGATGTGGACCATCTGTCACCATGTAGTTTGATCTGGCTTCATCCTCTTTTCAGAATTAGATGCTCAGTTCACAGAGCTGCCTCCTCCTTTGGCCGCAACATCTACTCCTCAATTACACACACCCACTCTGGTGTAAGAGAGATAGATGGAGCCTCTGTTCTACCTCAGAAATCCCTCTCTTTTTTTGCTGTACATGCTAACCCTCCCTCTGCATCCACACGAACCATTTCTGAAAGCAGGTGGCAGGGACAAGGCACCAGGGTGGAGATGTGAGTCCTGCAATGAGCAACAGTTGAGGAAGGATCTAGATTCAGCAATATTTTTTTACTTTCTCATCCTATAGCCATCTATATCTTTTTTCACCTCTCTCCTTACCCTTTGCTTCCCTAACTCACATTTAAGTCTAAATTTCTTATTTACTCCTCACAGACTCCTTCCACCTACTTATTTCTCCCAAAGTACACACAGCCTTATGCTCCTGTGGCTGTATCTTTTGAAGACAACCAAAGAGAAGGAAAAAGGGGCAAGACACACTGAAAAAGGAGGAAGAGGTTTTGCTAAAGAGCCAAAGAGCACTTAGGAAGGATGATGGAGGTCAGACAGGGAGCAGAGAACAGCAAACACATGTTGTAATTAGCCTACCTGGGTCATAAACTATGGCTTTGCCCATGACACCCTCCTTTCTTCAGGTCAAGAGGGTTATCTGATGATCTTCAAATGCTTCAGGAACACTAACTGAACTATGCTACATGAGTGGATTTCACTGAGGAAAATGAAGTAACGAGATTTTGTGTCCTCTACAGATAAGAATTCGCCTTCAAGCCCTGGATCTTTATTAAAATGAGTCAGATCCCTAACTCTGATTCAATAGCAAGTGATTTGAATTAATGCCAAGTTTTATGCTTTCATTTACAGATAGATTTTGGCTCATTTTATAGATTTGCATTTTTTCCAGAACTGCAGATATGTATTAAACATCCCCACTCAACGGTATCAAAAAGTCTACAGCAGCCCCACGATGAACATGTGCGGAGCTCTGTTGCCACCTGAAGCCCCATTAAATTAAGTGGGACCCTGCAGGGGTGCGGGAACCTGCCTGAGCTGTGCAGAAAAACAAGGCTGTGTGTTACTACCTGAGCCTCATGTGACTGGGACATGCTAAATGAGTGTTACTTGACTGGCACTTATGCCACACGCTGCTGGCACAGCCGTGGCTCCAGGCTCGTCGGCTCCAGCCACTGCCACTCCACTGCCTTGCTGCCCCACGCAGCAGCACACACCTTCTGCTGCTTGCCCTGGCTTCTTACTTCCCCCAGGTGGCAGGAAGGCAGATGGCACCTGGCTAGCACCAGAGTTAGTCCAAAATTATCTCACCAAAACCCCCTGAAGAAATTCAAAACTGCAGAGCAAGTCTTATTGCCACTAATACCACATGCACTCATCACTTCAGAACAGGAGAGGCACATAAAATAAATTTTAGAAAACCCAACACCTTTACAATAAGCACCAGGGGTCAGATCCACATTTGTCCTTGTTTCCCTTTATTTTAACAGGCTTTGGACCTGCCTTAGCAAAAATATTAAAAAGAATTTATCATTAAAATGGCCATAAGTGTGGCTTCAACTCACACATTTTTAAAAATGAACACACCAAAGCTCTGAATCTGTAATTCTAGATGTTTTAACACAATAGTTTTTACTATTCTTACTATTTACTATCATGGCCTTGTGCTTTTCACATGGTGGCCTGTGTTTAAAACATGATGGATGTGACCTAGAACCATGAAGGCTTGAGATTTGGCTTGCAGCTGTGTTTAACTCTCATTTTATAACAGGTAACTGCAGATTTCAGATGTTGTGACGGAACACGAAGATGAATAACATAACAGTAAGTCAGGTGAAAGTGACATATGAATAAAATGAAAGAGGAGGGTTAAAAAGTTAAAAATCAGGTTCGGAAAAATCAGGAAAAAAATTACTCAAAACTAAGTATTTTATTTACATTTTATGTAATGTTTGTTAAAAAGAGTCAGATTCTAAACTTTATTCAGTAACAGTTATATGCTTTCTACATTAACTGAAATGATTGTTTTAAAAAATTGTAGTATTTCACTTAGACTACATTCATCTGCCTTCATTTATTCTCAGTGGCTCAGGAATTTTTTTTTTATTTTTAAAATCAGCACGTATCATGAAGAATCCACATGCACTATTATCACCAATTAAAGAAATCTTGACATATTTTGCCAATATCAAGTCAAGACTTAAAAATAAATCTAGTTACCACAAGCCAATGTGTCTGCCTAAAAACATATTGTAAACACCTGCGGAAATATTTTCTGTTGTTTGTACATTTCCACCATGATTTAAACACAATGTCCTCCTACGTTCAGCAAATTTCGACTTCCATCCGTATGACAAAACCCTCATCTTATGAGTGGCCATTTCAAATCTAGCAGGTTCTCATAGGATGCAACTGAGGGGGAAACAATCATCACCTGAATGCAGAGATGCTCTGAGTATAATGCAGGCTCTGGTGAAGATGTCATACCATGAGAAAGTGCCACCCTGCAGCGGGCATAACAGAAAATCAACTATAAACTATCTACATCTGTGTACTCTGACTAATGCACCTTGTGTGGTGCCTTCACCAGCAACAGTATGGATCTCAGTGGAAGGCAGACCAACCGTAGACAGTCTTTCAAATCACCACTACCACCCTGAATTCCCCACAGAAGCAAAAGCAGCGGATAAGCAAGCTACTGCATTTTGGAAATTCAAAATATAGCGTTCTTACACAAACAGTACTGTGTCTGAAGGAATATGATCTACTTGTGTTAGTGTAACAGGCAGGAACTCTAAATTAGGTCAGCATTGTGCTTGGTGCTGTGTAAATGCAGACATGGGCAGAAGAAACATGGCTTGTGTGAGGGACTCAAGCAACCAAAAGCGATGTCTGCAACAGAAGCCAAGTCACATTCATTTTAGTGAGGCTCTGGCTCCCCAGTTTCTATGTCACTTTCAAAGATGGAATGGAAATTACCCAGATGATTTGGAAATATATTGAATCCCAGTGTCTGGCCAAAATTTACATCTCAAAAACTGAAGTGTAGAGGATTAAATTTAGAGTAAAAGAAAAAAACAAAACAAAATAGTCCTTTATGGGAAGTAAATATTGGAGGCTCCAGTTTTTCAAGTGTCTGGAACTGGGCTGACCAAAAAAGAAATCACCCTGAAATTGAATATTAAAAAAAAATAATAATTATTTTGCACCGATGTATCTTTCAAAGTCCCTTCCAACCCCTAACATTCTGTGATTCTGTGATGTAGAATGGATGAGGTGAACTAACGGGTTTCTCCCATCTCTATTTTCTAATATTTAGATCCTGCCTTTTATTATCATTTTTTCTTTAAGTAGTTTGCAAGTGATCACGCCAACATCTTATTTTGTTGATCTCAACAGGATATTCTTTAAAAGATGCGTTTATTCACTTGGGAACACACCAGTGTAATTAGCCTTGACATTTCAACAGTCTGATCGTAAACACAGAGTGCTCTATGTGCTTTTAAGGCAAAAAGATCTCTGAAACAAGAAGGCAAAACATTTGAGATGTGAATTTTGCAGAAAACCCATGACTATTTTGTTATACACAGTCCTCACCATTTCAAGCACGAGTGCCAAAAACACACAAAGTCAAAAGACTGATGTATTGTTAATGGCACTTCTAATTTTAGAGGGGGGGTTTCCCCCTTTTGCCTCATGATATTTTTCATGTAACTGCCTCCCCCACCACTGCTGTTCCTTGCCTCTCCCTTCCCCCAAAATTCATATGTTCAAAATAAAGTCTGACCATGCCACAAGCAGGAGTCCTTGGCGGGCGTGCCATCAGGGAAGTAATTTCAGGTGTGCCAGAAACAGTGAGGCTGCCTTGCTGGGTGGGGAGGCTGAAGAAAGAACCTGCTAATGAAGCTGGGTTGCACCAGCCCA